TGATAAAAAATAAATAAAATGAAATGAAAGAAGACAAAAATGAAAGGGGGAAAAGTTAGTGAGATAAGATAATAATCAAAATGATAATGAGAAAAAGTTCTACCCCACATGCTTATTATTCCTACCCGGACATGATCTTTATCCCACATCTTAATTTTGAATTAGTCCTAACCGCGTAAATTTCTAGTTCACATGCTTGGAACAGAAAATAAAGTAGGAAATAGTCTCAAAGCAGCTTAGGGTTTGAAATGAGATTTTGAGGTAGGCTGTAATTCCCTGCAGTCTCCTGGTTTAGGTTCTAAAGAAGGTACCTGAGTTCTCCTTGCTGGTGCCCCCTTGGGCTTGCCAGACCCTTAGTCCTAAGCCCATTACAAGCTCATGTGGACTAAGTTAAACTCGAGAGGATACATTCCCTTATGCTCGCACGGTGAATAAATTCACACGAAGACATAAGGTATATGAATCCCGAAGGTTACTTGCTAGGCCCGCACGGAGAATAAATTCTCACGAATGCATCACTTTCATCCCCACTTAAAAAAGGTTTGCTCGGGTATAGAGCCTGAGATAAAAAATTTGAAAATCTGAAATCATTGAAAAAAACGTCAGTACAACTATTTACTTGAGAAAATAATCAAAGATAAATAATTAGAATCGAATAAATAAATTAAAACTTAAATTTGTAATTTTCACTTAAAAAGACAACCGAAAATTAATTTCGGCCTGACTCACTTACATGTACCCAACGGGGTCGCCAAGCTGTCATAACCATTTTTCGGGTGGAACAATTAAATATTATTTTAAAAATGGTCTCGACTTTTAATTTGAATTATTCGGTGATTTGGAATTAAATTGAATATAATTTGAAAAAGAGTCACCATCGACCTTTGGGTTAGGTAAGTCGAATACCTAAAAACGTCTTTTAAAAACAATTTTAAGAAAAATCATTTTTAAGACAAAAAACCAGTATGTGTTTACAAAGATTCGATTAAAACGGGTTCAGGAGTCTGTTACAGTCAAGGAAGGATTAACACCCTTGAACTGTCCTTTCGATACCATTTAATTTGTCGGTTGTCTTAATTGCGAAAATTAAAATTTAAATTGAAATTAAAAAATTCAATTCGAATTACTTACCTTTTATCGATTGAAATTACTACTGAAAAATCAAACAAAATATTAGATGGTAAAATAAAATATTGAATGCTAAACAAAAAGAAAATATTTTAGAAGATTAAATTAAAAATAAAAAATATATATAAAAATTAGGAAATAATAATAATAATAATTTTTATTCTAAAAATGAAAAAATGTTAAAGTATCTCCTAGTAATTAAAAAAAACCAAATACACAAAATTCGTGATTAAAATAAAATTATTATAAAATTAAAAGACCAAAATAAAAGAACATAATTTATATTAGTGACCAAAATAAAATATGCATAAATTTCTAGGTCAGATTCGAATAAAAATATAAATTAGTGACTAAAATATAAAAATTAAAATAACATTAGCTAAATCATAAACTAATAGTGACTAAATTAAAATAAAATAAAACAGAATGACAAAATTGCAATAAATTAGAAACTAAAGGTCAATTGATCAAACTGTAACAAATAATAAAACAACTACTAAATTATAACAAATAAAATAGCAAAAATAATGACCAAATCGAAATTTAATAAAACCAATATGCATATTCGAAACAAATAACAAAGTAAATAACCAGAATGCAAAAGAAACTAAAATACGGGGAGCTTAAAAGTGATTTTACCCTGACTGTGACCAAAGCATAAAACACGCTGAAACTGGGAGGACTTTAAATGCGATTTGAGCCTAAATTAGGCGAACAAAGCAGAAATATCCTAAAAACCAGGGACCTGATGCATGATTTACCCTTTTTCTACACCAACATAATATATCCCCTGTTTTACGTGAATCATCCCAGAAATATGCAAACAACAAACTCTCTTGACTGTTGCACCCCGGTTCCGTCTTCAATGGCCGTTGGCCACCAAAATTTGCCGAGAGACTCGTCTCGACGCAGTGGTCACTGATCTGAGCTCTTTTTCGTCAGTGGCGCTCCGAACGTCGTGAAATGACCAAAGATGACTCAGCTTTTCCAGGCTCTGATCTCCACTGTCCGTCGTTGGATCGGGTCCAAATTTCAATAGGCTGCTCCCCTCCTCGAGACGCTTCTTCTCACCGTTTGGATCAACGAACCGACACTCCGAACGCCGGCGAGGCTCTGACAGAACGATAAAATGCCATTTTCCCTTCTTTTTGTTATTATTTTTTTTATTTCAAAAGCTAATAAAAAAATAAAATAAACGTAAATACCAGAAAAATCTTTGAACTTTTTTTTTGCTTTATTGATTTTTGAATCCGAATCCAATCTCTCATTACATTTTTTTCTTTCGGGTTATATAAACGGATTTGTATATTTTTTATTTTTTTTTTCAACATGCTTGAAAATATTGTGTATTTTTTTACTTTCGCTTGATATTTTGTTGTTGATGATGTAAGTGATGACAATGACGGCTTCCAGAAGGTTTGACGGTGCTGAAACGTTCGATTAATTTTTTTTAAAAAACTCGGATAAAACGAGTCTCTACAGCCTCTTCCGTACCTCAGCTTTCGTATTGCAGTATCGCCCCTGAACCACGTCAATGGATAGGGGTGTAAACGAGCCGAGTTGAGCTCGAGTATCGCTGAACTCGACTCGACTCGAAAACTCTGAAATGCAGCTCGACTCGACTCGAAATCTCGCGAGCTTAAAATTTTTAAGCTCGACTCGAACTCGAAATCCTGAATTGAAGCTCGTGAGCAGCTCGAAAAGGCTCAAAATGAAAAAAAAAATCTTAAACTTAACTAGATTGAAGCCTCAAACTCGAAACTGAACCTTAAATACATGAAAATCTTACTGTATTTTTTTTAAAAAACAACACATAAATGTTAATATTATTAATAATTTATTTTAAAAAAATAAAATCTTAATATATTATATTTTTAAGCTGCTCACGAGCTTTTCGAGTCGAGTATCAAGTAGCTCGTTTCGGCTCGTTAAGAATTCGAGTCGAGTTCGAGCTCGAGTCGAGTCCATTCGATCCGAGTATTTATCGAGCCTTGACCGAGTCGATCTCGAATAACTCGCGATCTGTCTCCTCTCATTTACAACCCTATCAATGGATCCCATCTCTCTTACCTGGCAAGATCTAAGTTGGTTTGACCTTTAAATCATTATTCAATAAATGCTTCTCCTTAATATTAATATTAGTTAAATTAGGTATTGCACACAATTTTTAAACTTAAATTTAAATAATAAAAAATGAAGAAAAAAAAAGTTCAAATGATTTCTATTTCTAAACGATATTTATGGATAAAACATAAACGAGAAGGCAGAAATGGGAAACATCTACAAAATCTAATCTACGGCCGGGAGAAATAGAAGGCCCTGCTCAAACACAACATTTTCGCGCAACTTTGGTTGTTAAGAGGGCGATCAAAAGGTGCGAATTTCTTTCTGTTTTTCTTCTTTCCATTTGAAATCGGTTTCGTGAAAATGGAAAAAATGGAGAACTCTTTATTGGATTTGTGTATGATTGTTGGAATTAATGTGGCCGTTTTAGACTTTTATTGTATCTTTTCCCTTCATTTTCTCAACAACCAAACGTAGTTGAATGGCGGATCCTTGGATGAATCAAATGGATTGCATTACTTTTTTCTTTACACTTCGTTCAATGGATTATGATTTCCTTTTTATTATGCAATTTCACACTTTTGCTTCATTGTTCTTCTCATTCTAGGTTTAATTAGTTGTATTTCATTCATTTAATTAGGATTTTTCAGTTTCTCAGTTGTCTAATTTATGTGCATGAGTTCGGTTTCATTCTCTGATGATTCCTACTTTTAGACATTGTCCATTTTGCATATAGATTAATTCTATATGTGCTTTTTAATTACTTCGATCGGTATTTATAATAAAACAATCACTAAAGTCATATTTACTCTCTACTAAAACTCTTACTAAGAGTTCTATAATATCCTTTTCACATAACTAAATTAAATTAAACAAATTTTGGATGCTGCATCAATACTTCTGTGTAATTTTCCCACACATGGCACTGTTAGCATTTTTTATTATGATGTTTTGGATAGTTTTTCTCTGGAGTTTGAATAGCTAGCCTTCATACACAAATCGGTATCTGAGTCTTGACCTCTGGTGTTTTCTAGTATGGTAGTACCTAATTTCTCAATTCACATTTTTTATCCACTCAAAACATTGTTTTCCTTTCAGCTCATTCAGGTTTGGTTCTTACCTTGTTATCTTGGGCTTTACATAAAATAACAGCCTGATTATAGTATGAATCATCATATCACTCTGTCTTATTTGCAAATAGTCTAGACTTTGGATGCTTCATTTTCCATGTACTGGTGTAGATAAAGTGATTATTATAATGTTTCAGTGGATCAGGACTATTTGAAGCTTGCTGCTTATACCCAAAGAGTTTTCCAGATGACGTAAATCAGAATTTTCCATGTTTTTCGTTTATCCTTTCCATTTGCATTTTAGAAGGGGATGGAATGGGATGATTGGTGGTTAATGTTAACATTTTATATAAAAAAAAAATTGTTTTACCATTTTTCGCCATAACATTTAATATGAAGTTGATGCATGTTTGAATCATTTTCTTGCTTTTCTCAACAATTTCAAGTTCTTCCGCTTCAGTTCTTTGCCTTTATTCTCCCTATTTAGGTTTCAGCTAAGTAGTTCCAGGTGGTTTTTTCTAACATTTCACCATACAAATTGTTCAAATTAATTAGGATTCGTGAGGTATTTCTTCAGTTAAGAAAGGCTCTTAAAACGTATCAGTGAATGGCTCTATTTCTCCAGTGGAAATGGGATAAATGTGTCCATTTTATTTATTTATATGATGTGATGAGTGAACATGCATTTTGTAGATATAGCAGTCATAAGGAACGATTAGTAAACACATCTAAAATTAAGCCTTGTATTACTACCTCTAGGCTATGGCTAGAGTCCAAATCCAGTTTCTTGAGTCAAGTGGTCTTATTATTAGCTGCTTTTGTAGTAGATTCCCATTTTTCATTATATTTATTCATTTTTATGCTCCCTTTTTTATTTTAATTTACTACTGAAGAAAGAATTTTTCTTGCTTTCTTTTTTAAGAGTCGCATTTTTCTATGCTGTGTTTTGGATCTAGTAAGTAATAAATAATTCTTTGTTGGGGTAACAGTAGACGTGTAAGATGGAATGAGGACAATCTGGTGGAAATCGAAGCAAATAAACCTGTTAAGGCAGAAAATAACAGAACCCGAGACGCCGTACCACCCCATGATTGATGATGATGATGGTATGCGTAGTGTTTACCTTCATAAGCCTATTATATCATGCATAGAATGTGTATATATTCAAAAATGGTGTTGTTCTTTTTTGTTTTAAATATTTTTCTGCTTTTGGTTAGAGTTTTATTCTAAAAATCCAATTACATTTCTCACCTTGTAAACTGGATCTTGGTAGTAGGGTCTTTGTCTCCCGTAGGGCATGGTTTCAATGATTGTATCGGTCATACTATGGATGCTGAGGAATTACGCTCTGTTTTGAAGGATGTAGCTTCCTCGAGTAGAAAAACAACTGGGCAATCTAGTGGCTGGACATCTTCTGAGGATGAGGCTGACGAAGAAGGTTTGTTAATCATTGTTATTATGTTTTCCTTTTCCCTTGGCATATTTAAAAATGTTTTACTTTCCTTTACGAGGGTTAGCATTTCTAATGACTGGTTTATCAGTTTATCTTCTTCCTTTTTTCTTCTTTTGAATAAATTATATGCATTTATCCAGAAAAGCAGCAGAGCTGCTACAAAGTAAACAATCTGCTAGCAAGATACTATCTACAAACAAAGCAAAGGAAATATTTCTGCAATTGAACTGTAATCAGACAAGGAACCAACTATATGCACTTCAGATCAAAATGTACTTTCAGTTCACTGATAAATTCTTACTAAGCACTAACTATACCACATGCATCAAATAGCCTTTTGGACCACTTTTCCTGAACCTGATAATCTAAGTTTAACCAGCTCCTTCACTTTTGCAAGGGCCTCCTGATCTGAATTTGTTTGCCGAGTGAACTGTCATTTTTTCCTGTCACACTAGGTAAATGTGAGCACTCTATGCTAGCCTAAGGACAATCGAAATAAGGCCTTTTTTGTTTCAGCTTAGAGACTATCCTAGCCAGCTCCAGATTCCAGTTTCCAACTCCTTTCCAACTTACTTAGTCTGAGGATCTCTCCTCATATCTCCCTTGCAAAGGCACATTCAAACAAGAGATTATTTCTAGTCTCTAGCTCCTGGCAGAACACACAAGAACCATTTATGCTCTTTCCCCTACAGACTAACACATCTTAAGTAAGCAAACTATTGAGGATGGCCATCCAGGCTATGGTGGAATTCTTTGGAATTTGAGGGGAAACCAAATTAATTTGTGCTAGCTCACTTGCCTAGTCGTACCCTTTGTTGTTTTACCTTGTAAAAGTATCATTTCAAGAAAGTAATTCTTTTTTTTTATTTGGTCGGAAGTTGATTGTTTAAACCCGTTTTTGTCCGGGTCTAAAAAATATTATTAATTATATTATTATTATTATTATTTTAATTTACATTTTACATTTTACATATTTTGTTGTAGGCCCAATCCCTAAGCTGCCTAATATGAAACCGATCGACCCGAACCGACCCAGTTATAGACCTAGACCCGGTAGGGTTTCCCTTCTCTGCCCCAGCACCGTACCATCAGGGGACCGTCTGATCTGGACCCATCCAACGGTTAGGGTAAAACCCTAACCTTTGTAGACTGTCACCACCTGAATGCTGCTGCTGCCACCTCCGACCGTCTCAGAGCCGCCACCCTCATCAACAGTGACAGAAAGTCACACTAATATCAGAAAAGCAAAAAAAAATTAAGAACAAATCAAAAAAACAGTTTCTCGAGAAGATTTAGCCATGTAGGAGCATCATATTAAAGGACAAAAAATCAATCACAAAGATTACACATGCATGGATATAAATCAAAAAGAAAGAGAAAAATAGAGAGAGATCAGGGAAACCATTCGGGGTTTGATAGAGAAAAATCAGAGGGAAAAAATAGAGCAAGAAAACAAAAAAAATAACAAAAATCATATTCGAAATAAAAAAACAACAAAGAGGAAACAAAGGAAAAACAGAAGAAAGTAGAGAGTGAGAAGGTTCATACCTTAGTTCGCAGCCAGTGGGGAAGCCCAAAAGCCACTAGTTTACAAAGTCTTCGAGAGGTGAAGGGCTTAGATCTGGGTTCCTAAGGATGTTTTTAGAGTATAATGTGTTAGGAATCGAGTTAGGGGCGAAGGGAGAAAGCTTTTGGTGGCTTTCTCTCTCTCCGGCCACCGTCCGCCGTCGTGATGGTCGCTGGCGGTTGCCAACTCTCCCTTCCCCGATGAGAGAGTTGAGAGAGAGCTCTCTCTCACTTTTCTAAAGAAAGTAGAGAAATGTAATTTATAGCCGAATTTGGCCTGATTTTATCCTTATGTACTGCGCACGAAACAATGTCGTTTTTCACCCATTAATCCTGTGTTTTTCTTATATTAGGGGAAAATTGTGAGTTTAGCCCCCTAAATTTGTAATATGGTATTTTGATCTGAATTAAAATGGGATATTTTGTATTTGAGCCTTTTATGTTTCCATTTTTATGTTTTAGTCATCATGTATATGCTTTAATGTTTTGGTTAAATATTTCAATTGATACAGTAGGTTGTTTTTATTTCATATTAGTCTTTTGTGTTTAATATTCGTTTGATTTTAGTTTATTTAGGCTATCAGTCCCTTTTGTATTTCAGTATTTGTAAATTAATCATTGTTTCAGCTTAAAAATATAAATAGATTATTACATGTCTAGCCTCTGTTGCTTTGTTAGTTTTGCACATTACACACTTTAAGATCGGTGTATGTATTTTTGTTATATACATTATTATGCATGTTATGTTATTTTAAATATTTAGATGTATATTTTTATGTGTATGGATATTTATGTGTTTTATGTAGTAAAGTTAAGTACATATTTTTTAACTTATTATTAAATCCTATTTTATTTAATAGTTTGTTAAATGTCACTTGCTCAAATATTTCAAGAGTTGTATTTGTAGAACGGGCGTGAAAAATATCACTTGATCGAAGTGTTGCTATCTGATATGTCGTTCGAACGAAATGAGATCTTGAAACAAATTGAAGTTATTTTTAACGCTAATTAATTTCTTTTAATTCAAATAATGCAATGCAATTTTCTTTAAATAGCAATTTATGTAATTTTTCGTAAATGTCAATTTTTAGTTTATATTCGATTCACATTTTTTTATCGAGGTAGGAATATTCTTTATAGATAAGAAATGGGCGAGATAGATTTCCCGATGGAGGATTGCTAATCTCGAGATTTCTTTTCAAGTTAAAGAATTTTTCCTATTAATAATAATTCAAAGCAAATTAATTAACTTTAGTAAATGGATCATAATTTTAATTATTTATGTGAATTCATAATTTCCGCCATTACAACAACGTGTAAGCGATTCAGTACCAATTTTTTGGCGTTGTGGGGGTACTTATCCTTCCCCACGAGTAATCGACTCCCGGACTCGTAAAATTGAGTTTTTGGTAAACGCATACCAAATTTTGTCTTAAAAACGATTTTTCTTAAAATTGTTTTTAAAAGACGTTTTTAGGTATTCAACCTACCTAACTCAAAGGTCGATGGCGAATCCCTTTCGATTTAATCCAAATCAATTCAAAATCTCCAATATTTCCAAATAAAAGTCATAATTTTTTAAAATAATATTTAATTGTTTCTAAAAAATAGTTATGATAGCTTGGCGACTCCACTGGGAACTTTTTTTAGAGAGTCAGGCTGTAAGTCGCTTACACATTGTCGTAGTGGTGAAAATTATAAGTTCGAGTCTATGGCTAACTTATGATCCATTTATTGAGGTTTTTTAATTTCTTCATTTTTAATTCTGATACTAATTTTTTTAAAATCTTTATTTTCAGCAGTGTTCAAGTCTCTCTCTTGAGAGTTTTCTTTTTCTTTAGAGGCAAAGGTTTGTATGTTCCTCCTCTCACACATCACGTGCATTTTCATAACATAAGCTCTAGACCCGAGCTTCGATCCAAATAAGTCAGGGTGAATGTTTTACTCTCGTAAGAATTTATTCTTCGTATGAGTTTTGGCAAATAACCCATGGGATACATACCTTATACCTTCGTAGGGATTTATTCCCCGTATGAGTATAAGGCAGTAAATTCCCTCAAACTGAACTCGTTCAGTTCGAAACCTATAATGGGCGAGGATCGAGGGTTTGGCAGCCCAATGAGGCACCGACATCAAGGACGATTTGAGTACCCTGTTCTCATAGAGCCGAAACTATGCATATAGTGAACAGTAGAATAGTCACCCTAGATATAGCCATACCGAACTTATGTCCGTCAGTAGGTACCCAAAATAAGTGTACACAAAGGAGGAGCGTTTCTGAACCTTTCATTTTGCTTTAAATTCTGTTGAATAACAACATGCGAACTAGATACCATGCGATTAGGATCAATTTCTTGAAAATAAATCACTGTTGGTAGAAAACATGTCCGGGTAGGATTGTTATCTATTGAAAGCATGCTCGGGTATATATCATGATTGGGTAAGTGTTATATTTATCTGTAGATAATATATTTTCATTGTATCAATTATCTTACTTGTACTAATTTATTTCTTTTCTTTTGTTTGTATCATTTTTCATCATTTTTTCATCGCATTTCATTAGCATAACATAATGTGAAAGTGTTGATCTGTAAGGGGATATTCGAGAAATTTTTTTCACAAGAAGAGGTAAAAGTTTTCAATCAAGCAGTCGTATACACAGACATGCACTGAGGGCTAAAAGAAGTTCAGAATACAAGAATGAGACTTGCTCGAAGATAGTGCAATATTCGAGACTGAAATGATGATCCAATGATCCTAGGAGTAATCCAGTAGTAGAGTATTATCTACGATTATTCCATCACTAACCATCAAGGAGCGACGCACTGACTTCAGCACCGTCGGGGCATTAACGGAGTTAGGTTACAGAGTATTTGAGTGGTATTATTTTCAAGGAAGAAGATCCGAGACGAAGTAGTGATCCACTTCAGACTGAACATCTAAGCGAAGGCATTTCTGTAAAGTGGATTGTCTTGTAATGTGAAGGCTTTTATTTCTGGTGAAAATTGTTCTATGATATTCATCGTTGGGATCAATCTTTTTGCATCTTTGCATTTTGCATCTGCATTTCATTTTTTTAAGCATTTTCACATGTATCATTCATGAAAACATGAAATTAATTCATGGAGAATTAGATGATAGTTGTCCTGATCACGTGATACCACATTGAGAATAGGAACAAGATTTGAACAATTAGAGGAAGAAGCTGAAAACAGTACGGTGGGAGCCTATTCAGCCGGTCATATGGCTGAGCTTTCCAGGATGATCTGAGAATAGAGTCCCCATATCCTGAGGGCTACGATGTTGATACCACATGCAGTTATCACATAAGAAGCTCATGACATTCTGCTAAGAATTGTAAGGTACTGAAGCGCAAGATCCAGAATCTGATTGATTCGGGGGCATGGATAATCAAAGAATGACGGGGTGTTGCATCTATCACTTGCATTAAGAGCATTGTTTTGTTTGAACTTGTTTTTGTTTTGTCCTTAATATTTTCTTAAATATTTTTAATCTTCTAATGATTGAATTTATATTACCTTCTAAGGTTGAATAATTGAATGAGTTTTAATCTTTAGTTCTTCGAATATCAAATGAATTATGAATTCTCTTAATTCTTCAAGAATTATGTTTTTGACATATGGCAAGATTAGACCTTTCATATCCCTTCTTAAACCAGAAATAAAATCTCTCGATTCTTTACCCGAAATAATTCATGGTCACTACCAAAGAACCAAATTTTGACATTTCCTCTCTTTGAGACCTTAAAACATTGCCTTTATCTTTTCAAGACACAAAAAGTCATACTCATATCTTTCGTTGAGCCAATAAAGTCACTATCATCTTCTTAGACGCAAAACTGGTATTTTTCTACCAATAAAACCTGAAGACATTGAGTACAAGATGTTCACTTGAACGTAAACCTTCCTACAAGAAGACACAATGTGGTGTATCTCGAATATCCGGAAGATAAGCCTGAACAATTGAGACATGTTAGAAGCAAGAAGAAAAAATAAAAAAATTAATTCAAAATAATTTTATCATGCATTAATTACATTGTTTTCAAGTGAATAAAAATTAATCTTGAAAATCTATCCCCCTAGGGATACCTCTTTTGCAAGGATTTCTTTGTATGAAATGATGAACGATTTTATTTCATTATCCCTTCACAAAAGGAGAAAATATATCCCTTGTGTCCCCTTTGAGCCTAAATTATGTTTTCTTCTGGTTCAACCCTAACCAAGGATCACCCTCCACATTAGAGGGTAAGGTGAAGAAAATTTTCTCGCATGATTGAAGACCATCAATCATGATAAGATACCGAAAGGTGAACCGAATGCAAAGTGTGAAGATCAAATCAAAGCAAAGAGAAAAAAAGCAAAGAGAAAAAAAACAAAAAGAAAAAAAAAGCAAAGAAAAAAGTAAAGAAAAAAGAGCAAAAGAAAAAGCAAAGAGCAAAGAGCAAAAACAAAACAAGAAGAACATGCAAAGAGTCCCTCGAGTCAAATGACGCATCAAGCTTCAAACCATAAGATTGATCAAGCACAATCATTCCAGAATCAATTCATCGGAATATCATAAAACATCAAGAGAAAATATAAGACACATACGAGCAGATTCAAAACGAGCAAGACAAGATTAAAGGCATTAGAATGAATTGATGCTTGGTTCAATAACCTTTAAACACTTTTTTGTGCCTTTTATTCCTTTCTTTCATAACCGTGAACCACATCCTACATTATGTGCCTAAAAAGTCCCTTCTAATTATACATGGATTTCTAAACAGAAGAGACTATCTTCAGATTTCATCCTTCCCATCAGGATTAATCTTTTATTTACAAAAGGTTTTGTAAAATCTTTAATGCATGATAGATGAAAAAATAATAACAAATGGGGGTTCAAGACATAAATTCTGAATAATGTCTTGAAACCAAAGGAGGATTCGAGTTGAAAACCTGAAAAGACAACTTGAATATAAAAAACTGTGCAACTGTTGCATAGAAGGTGATCTCACAAATCCCTTGATAAGGCATCGCACACCCGAATATGATCATGAGAGCTGGGAGTCAGAGAACACTTCCAGTAGAGGAGCATACAAGCTACCCTATCAGATCAGTGAATGTCAGAGAAACAAGAATTCAAAACCTTTGACCAAAGACAATAACCTGAGACTTTTTTATCCTTTCCTTACTTAACCATACCTCAAAAATAGCATTAATCTTGACACTTGTAAAATTGGCTATAATTTATTGAAGGATTAAATGTGTAATTAATTCTTTAATATCCAATGAACTCTTGTTTTATGATTTACCTCAATTGTAAAACCATGAAATGGGCAATATTTTCAAAATCTTTGATTAAACATTTTTCAACATCCTTTTAATTGAATTTTCAAACTTTTGAAAATAAAAGAAAAAGAAAAACGTTTTTCAAACAAGACAATCTCTCTTGAGTGGATCTTGGTAGTTGAGATGTGGCTCTCAAACACAAAGGTCGTGCTTAGAATCAGTGTTGAAGAAAGAAATGATGAATATTGGGGCATCTTTGGAGATTCAACATCCTGAAGTGAACGATCAGATCTTCTGAAGGCCTTTCCTCCACATGCAGGAACAAGTAGATTATTTATCGCCTTTGAGATTGTTTCTCTCGAAACAAAGCATTGTCTCGCTAAAGACATATTTTCTTCTAAAGTTGTTTCACTGGAAACAAAATTTATAATCTTTGAGTATGTTTCTCTTGAAACAAATTTTGTCTCCCTTGAGACAGTTTCTTGTGAAACATCAACCTTCGAGATTGTTTCCCGTGAAACAAAGTTTTGTCTCTCTTGAGACAGTTTCTCTTTAAACAAAAACAATCTTTGAGTTTGTTTCCCATGAAACAAAGTTTTGTCTCTCTTGAGACAGTTTCTTTTGAAATAAAATCTTTGAGTCTGTTTCTCTTAAAACAAAGTTTTGTCTCTCTTGAGAGAGTTTCTCTTGAAACAAAAGTTTTTGAGTTTGTTTCCCTCGAAACAAAGTTTTATCTCTCTTGAGACAATTTCTTTTGAAATAAAAAACTTTGAGTCTGTTTCTCTTGAAACAAAGTTTTATCTCTCTTGAGACAATTTCTCTTGAAATAAAAAAAAAAATCTTTGAGTCTGTTTCCCTTGAAACAAGTTTTGTCTCTCCTGAGACAGTTTCTCTTAAAACATCATCCCTAAAGATGGCTTACCGTCCTCATCGCGTAGAAACCGTGTCATCCATCAACCAGATCTCCTCATCACGTAGGAGTCATGTCACCCTTAAATAATCAATCATCCTCATCACGTAGGAACCATGTTATCATCCCTAAAGATGGCATATCGTCCTCATCACGTAGGAACCGTGTCATCTACCGACCAGACCTCCTCATCACGTAGGAGTGGTGTTACCCCTAGATAACCAGCCATCTTCATCGTGTAGGAACCATGTTACTACCCTTCCTAAAGATGGTCAACCGTCCTCATTACGTAGGAACTATGTCATCCATCAACCAGATCTTTTCATCACGTAGGAGCCGTGTCATCCTTAGACGACCAGAACTCTTCATCACGTATGTGCAATGTTGTCCCCAACAACAAACATATCAAATTTTCAAAGCAAAAAAGAGAACCAGACAAAAACTGGTTGTATTTTTCGTCTTTGCCCTATTCTTGTTAACACAAGAATGTGCAATGAGGGACAGCCGTAGACACCCATTTTTATCCGGGTCTAAAAATTATTATTATTATTATTATTATTTACATTTTACATATTTTGTTGTAAGCCCAATCCCCAAGCCAGATTACATCCCAATCCAGCAGCCCAATATGAAACCGGCCGACCCGAAACGACCTAGCTCCAGACCCATACCCGCTAGGGTTTCCCATCTCTGCCCCAGCACTGCACCATCAGGGGCTGTCTGATATAGACTTATCCAATGGTCTAGATCAATGGCCATTTAGGGTCTAAAACCCTAACCCTTATAAATTGTCGCCGCCTAAACGCTGTTGATGCCACCTTCGACCATCTCAGAGCCGCCACCCTCATCAACAGTGATAGAAAGTCACACCAAAGTCAGAAAAGCTAAAAAATTAAGAACAAAACAAAAAAACAGTTTCCCGATGAGATTTAGTCATGTAGCAGCATCAGATTAAAGGACAAAAAATCCATCACAAATATCACACATGCATGGATATAAATTAAAAAGAAAGAGAAAAATAGAGAGAGATTAAGGAAACCATTCAGGGTTTGAGAGAGAAAAATCAGAGGAAAAAAATAGAGCAAGAAAACAAAAAAAAAACCAACAAAAATCATATTCGAAATTAAAAAAAAAACAACAAAGATGAAACAGAGGAAAAACTGAAGAAAGTAGAGAGTGAGAAGGTTCATACCTTGGTTCGTAGCCAGTGGGGAAGTCCAAAAACCATCAGTTTACAAAGTCTTCGAGAGGTAAAGGGCTTAGATATGGGTTTCTAGGGTTGTTTTTAGGGTATAAGGTGTTGGGAATCGGATTAGGGGTGAAGGGAATAAGCTTTTGGTGGTTTTCTCTCTCCAATCATCGTACGTCGTTGGCGGTGGTCAACTCTCCCTTCTCCGATGAGAGTCTCTCTCTCTCTCTCTCTCTCTCTCTTTCTATTTTTGAAGAAATGAAATAAATGAGATTTATGGCCGAATTTGGCCTTATTTGGCCTTATGTACTACGCACAAAACGGTGTCATTTTTCACCCATTAATCTTGTGTTTTTCTTATATTAGGGGAAAATTGTGAGTTTAGCCCCCTGAGTTTGTAATATGGTATTTTGATCTGAATTGAAATGGGATATTTTTTATTCGAGCCTTTTATGTTTCCATTTTTATGTTTTAGTCATCATGTATATGTTTTAATGTTTTGGTTAAATATTTCGATTGATCCAGTAGGTTGTTTTTATTTCATATTAGTCATTTGTGTTTATTATTCGTTTGATTTTGGTTTATTTAGGTTATCAGTCCCTTTTGTATTTCAGTATTTGTAAATTAATCATTGTTCCAGCTTAAAAATATAAATGGATTATTACCTGTCTAGCCCCTGTTGATTTGTTGGTTTGATATCTATTTTATTTATTTATTGCACATTACACACTTTAAGATCGGTGTATTTTTGTTATATACATTATTATGCATGTTATGCTATTTTAAATATTTAGATTTATATGTTTATGTGTATGGATATTTATGTGTTTTATGTAGTAAAGTAAAGTACATATTTTTTAACTTATTATTAAATGCTATTTTATTTAATAGTTTGTTAAATGTCACTTGCTCAAATATTTCAAGAGCTATATTTGTAAAATGGGCGTGGAAAGTATCACTTGATCGAAGTGTTGCAATCCGATACGACGTTCGAACGAAATGAGAGTTTGAAACAAATTGAAGTTATTTTTAGCGCTGATTAATTTGTTTTAATTCAAATAATGTAATGCATTTTTCTTTAAATAACAATTTATGTAATTTTACGCAAATATCAATTTTTAGTTTATATTCGATACACATTTTTTATCGAGGAGGGAATATTCTTTATAGATAAGAAATAGACGATATAACTTTCCCAATGGAGGATTGCTAATCTCAAGATTTCTTTTCAAGTTAAAGAATTTTCCCTAATAATAATAATTCGAAGCAAATTAATTAACTTTAGTAAATGAATCATAATTTTAATTATCGATGTGAATTCATAATTTCCGCCATTACGACAACATGTAAACGATTTAGTACCAATTTTTGGGCATTGTGGGGGTGTTTATAATTCCCCACGCGTAATCAACTCTCTAACTCGTAAAATTGAGTCTTTGGTAAAAGCATACCAAATTTTTGTCTTAAAACGATATTTCTTAAAATTGTTTTTAAAAGACGTTTTTAGGTATTCGACCTACCTAACTCAAATATTGATGGCGACTCCCTTTCGATTTAATCCAAATCAATTCAAAATCACAAATTTTTCCAAATAAAAGTTATAATTATTTTTTAAAATAATATTTAATTGTTTCTAAAAAAATAGTTGACACTCAGGATTTACCCACTGTTGTACCTGGTTGAAAGATTCACAACCTTGAACGTCAATAAAAGGCTTACAGCTTGGTTTTCCTTATAGCTAGGAATTGTCATCTTGTCGTGCCATTTCCCCTTGGTTTTCTCTACTGCTATTTCAATTATTTAGCAATTAAACAGAAACAAATAAGATGTCTCAAATCATACATTTACTCGGTTCCACTCAGAGAAGGTTCAACATTGCTCATTCACGTCCAAATTCCCAATCCACGTTACGTCTTTTGGTTGATTACTTTGTTTTTGATTTGCTGTCTTGTGCTCAATCTATGGTTGGTTGTTTTAAGCTTCTTCTGCCGAAACAGATCGGAGTGGTATGAGTTTTCAGGAACTTAGAAAAGCCCACTATGATGAGTTTTTGAAGATAAAGGAATTGCGAAGCAAAGGTTCTTTCCTTGAGGACGAAGATGATGATGCGGAAGGTGATCCATCGTATTCATTAAGCTCTAGTGTCAAAGACATGGAAATGGAAGTAAGCACTGCAACTGTGCCTCAAAAATCTTCTGCAGGTCCAACTAATGGATTGTGAAGTCATCCGATCATTGTCGGGACCTGTAAGCTGACTCTGTTGACCATCCTTGTGGCGGGTTGATGCTATTTTGGTGCCAAGGAAAATATTGGCCATGTATTTTTCCAGTTTTTGACTTAGACCTGTATATAACTTTCCCTAATTTGGCATGTTTGTATTAACTCTTACAGCATTTCTATTTTTTGGGTCTATAACGAATAAGATAGGGGCAAGGTTTTTGAAACAATGTCACCCTGATTAATATTTGTGTTTATTGACAAATCGCATGGTTGATAATATCATCTGGGCTTAAAACTGATGAGTGGTACTGAAGATCTAAACACGTTTTCTTTTGCTATTTTTAACCAAATTAACGTTACAAATTCAGTTGGAATGTTACCAAATCAAATATTAATATTTTATTGATTATATTTTTTGTGTAATGAGTAATCAATCCGAGGATAATGTATGTTTTTTTAGTACACTTGAATTTGCATCCTTAAATTCATCAAGTAGTTTCAATGGCAAAAAAAAATATTTTCTCTAGAATACATGGGTTCGAATAGTTGTGTATATACGGTATGTCCATTATTAATAACTAATAAAATTTTTAAACAAACATTATCTTGTAAATACTTTAGACTATTAAAAGAATAATATACTTAATATACTTATTTATGATATGTCTCAAGGATTTGATCGACAACTTAAACCAGTTCAGAAAACAGCGGTCAGCAAAGCTTAAATACCCAGACATGTTTGCATTCGGCCCAGCGGTTTTAGCCTCCTACCATTGGTGTACACTTCAGTCCTTTAAAACGTTGATGGCAAATTAGGCAAAATTGTTCTAATAATGTGCTAGAATTTTTTTTTGATCATATAGGGTAAAAATTATTCTTTTCAATTAGGATTTTTATTAAAGTATTCATTGAAAGTCACTTGGATTATATGTATTCTAGAAAATGTTTAACTCATCAGACGATTGTTACAGTATCACTTGATTATCCCTATTATATATATATATGTGTGTGTGAATATAAAAAAATTATATTTTAAATGACTTTCAGAAGCCGTTGTATATTCTAGACGACTTTTAATAAACATTGTAATAAATACTTTACTTCAAAAAATAATTTCTCATATACTTTAAAGTGTAAAAAAAAAAATTGCCGGCGCATGTCCTATGAAATAGATATTTACGGGGGTGAATCCCCTCGCTTTGTTCGCGGCAACAAATTATTTGCCTACATTTGCTAATTTGGATAACATTTGATGCAATTAGATGTATAAATTTCATGTACCATAAATGAATTATATCGATCCACGTTATTAATGCAGAACATAGTGATTGAGACACTTTAATAAACACTTAGTGGTTGATAGATTTAAATAAGAAAGCTTAATACATTTTTTTTTAGTTTCTAAATTATATTTCAATACACGATTTGGTGTCTAAAAACCTTTTTTGTTAATAATAAATGTCTAATGTTTTAAACGTTACATTTTTATGTGTTTATATCATAACGTCGTTAAATTTTATTGTTACCTAACACATGTCATGTATACAAAATTTTAAAATTTATTTTTATTTAAAAAACTTAATATTATAATTTTAAAAAACTCCAATTTTATATCTTCCGCACGTCAATTGGTCGTTGTCGGTCCGTGACCGTCACTGTTAACACCATCAGAACCGTCTCGTTGCCGCGATTAAAACTCAATCCCACCCACCATGAAACTACATCATTCATCGTGTAAAATGTTGTGAATGTCGCCAGATTTCTAGGTTTTTCGTTTTTGTTTTCCGACAATGTTGACGGCAACAGTCATTCGTACGTTACACGACTGTCGTTGTTGAGTTCCTCGTTCTGCTTCAAACAAAACTCGACTGATGGTGATCCTTTATCGTTGGCGGTAGGGGATGGGAGGGAGAGGGACGATGAGGGGAGGGATTTTTTATTTTTCTTTTTTCTTTTTAAAATTAATATTTTTATTGTTAAAAATTTTAAAATTAAAAATATAACGGTAAATACCTAAAAGTGTAACGGTGAAAACGTTAAACACCTATTGTTAGCAAAAAAAAAATCTTTAGGTACCAAATCATATTTTGAGGTATAGTTCAAGAACTAAAATTTTTATTAAACCTTAATATTTTATCTAAATTTTAAGGACAAGATTAGTATTTTATCTAGAATTTGAAATTAAATTAATATTTTTTAAATTAAATAATTAATCTCTTTTACTAAAATGATACATCATCAAACTAATTATATATAATGTTCGAATGACTACAATATTATAAATAGATAATATAAATAATCAAGATTTTATTTTATAGAATTATATAAATAAAAGTAAACATTTATAAAATGAAAACAACCATTTTGATAGTTTACCGTGCATTTATTTTTTAATAGTATGGATGATTATAAAATAATATATGCTTATAATATCTCTTCTTGATCCGTAGACACACGTATACTACCCTAGGCAAAGGCCATGTGATTGTCATACTGCAAACCCACTTTGCCACCTTCACCAAACGCATCCGGACCCTTTTTCTTTTCAATTTCATTGATATTTTTTGTGACACTCTTTCAAAAGAAACTTTATAAACAAAGATCTCATATGGTATTTTGTTGTTTACATATAAGAGGAAAAACCAGGTAAATACAGAATGTATTCACAAGCCATGCTGATAAAGGTGAGACAATCCCTCTAACAATATACAAGTGAAAATATATTTTTTCTTTAATCATACTTTCTAAAGTTATAGGCCAATGTTTTTATTTCTTTATTTTCTTAATTAAAACCAATGTGTTTAAAGATATTATTGACTAGTCTCAATGATAAAAAGAAACATTGTTCTTCTTAGAGGGTTTGAGTTAAATAGTTGTGGTCACAAGATAGGTCAGTTGTTAATTGACTAAAAAATTCAAAACATATACTACTTGTAATCCCGAACTTTTGACAAAGTAGTATTGATTCATAATATTTCTTAATCATTAACAAGGCACACATATCTTGCAAACGCAGTTACTCGAACTCAAAATCTCAAAAGAACAACATTGCAGTTGCTCGAGTTCAAAATCTCAAAAGAATAACAATAATTTTAGTCATTAAAATCACTCAATAGATAAATTTTAACATATCATGTCAATATAATTAGACATTTGTATTTTTTCTCTTAAAGTTATAAGTGCTTATTATCATAATGATAAACATAAATAGTACGCATCTGGATAATTATTTTAAAAATAAATTAATAAAATAGCAATTGGAGTTGAATTATTAATTAGGGTAAATTGTAACATTGATCATTTAATCATTTAATTATTTTATTTTAATAATTGATTTTTCAATTTTATTCATCAGATCACCTAATTATTTAATTATATCTAATCAAGTCACTTACCATTAACATTTAACATAAGTGTTGATTCTTTAACATTGATCATTTAATTATTTAATTCTTTTACTTTAATCATTGATTTTTTTTAATTTTATCCATCAGATCACCTAATTATTTAATTATATATAATCAAGTCACTTGCCGTTAAAATTTAACATAAGTGTCGATTCTTTTAACATTCAAGATAAGTGTTATAGAATCATTAAGAAGGCGAGAAAGATAGGACATGAATCTGGGTCTTTTGAAATATATAATTGTGTTTGAATCACTGAACATTTAGTCTGTTTGCAATATGGTCCCTCAACATTTAGTTCGTTTGTAATATGGTCCTCGACGTAACTGTTGGGGACCATATTGCAAACGGACTAAATGTTGGGGGACTTTAGAAAAGTTCAGTGACCATTACTATACTTTACCCTAAATTAAATATGTAGTAAATTCTTGAGTAATGAAATGATAAAATTGTTTTGTGATGTAAAAGCGTTTAAAATACTCAAGTTATATCGATAGTGTAATCTAATTAAAACAAAAAGAAAAATCAAAATAAAATAATTTTGAAATTAATATATATAAATATAAGCTAAATTAATAATAATTTATTTTGCCACAAAATACACCCACACAAAAATGGTATAAATATGAATCAAAACTCTAGGATAATTGCATTACTCAAAATTTAATTTAATTTATCATATCACATTTGACCGTCAAATTTATTATCGAGTGTTTGAGCCATATGATTTATTTGACTCCTGTCGGAACCGTCTTTTGGTTGGGCCCCAGAATTGCTTGTATTTGGGCCATGGTTTGGTCCTTTATTGGACTTGTACCCTAATAAATAAATAAATTATATATATATATATATATTATAATATGATAATATATATATATAATATAACGTTTGAGGACGAATTTGAGTGTTTTCAATATAATATAACATTAGAGGACGAATTTGAGTGTCTTCAGCTGCCCCTCTTTGCTCATTATCGTGTAACGACAATAGAGCAAAGACTAAAAGACACGAATTTCAGTCGTATCGAATGTCTTCCGTTGTGGAGTTGAAATCCAATATTAGGACTGGTTTGTCAATTGTACTGAAATATGGAATGACTCTATTGTCGTGAGGTCGAGTCAAAACTAGAAAATTCTGAGCCTGAATCCTTCGTCGTGAAGTCGAAATCGAACTCAGAGTACTGGAAGTAGCTCATGGATTGTCTTCTAGCCAAAGATACTTCGTTGTGAAGCTGAAACTCGACTTGAAGACTTTGGTGTTGTGGTGTTACAGACGACTCCGTCGTCGTGAAGTTGGGTTCATCTATTTGTGAAGTTGGAATTGTGTATGGCCCCTTCGTCGTGAAGTTGAACCTGAGAATTGGATATCCTTCGTCGTGAAGTTGAAATCCAAGTACTGTTCTGAGTCCAATATCCTCCGCTGTGAAGTTAAAACTGGTTCTGGAACTGGGAAATTCTTTACTGACAACCAGCGGTCCCTTCGTCATGAAGTTGAACTTGCGTTGTCTGGAATCCAATATCCTTCGTTTTGAAGTTGAAATTGGCTCTAAAATTGGGAAATGTTTGTTGACAACCAGCGGTCCCTTCGTCATGAAGTTGAACTTGCGTTGTC